AAAACAAACTCGGCACCTGCCAAGACAGCTGAGAGTGGGGATTTTTATCACTGGAGGGGGAACATGGGGAGATGCAGATTCAGGCTGATAGCAGGAAAAGTGGAATTGGATGCACGTGCATTCTGAGGGGAAGGAGGCATTTGTAACAAAGATTATCAGTTAGTCATGTTGATCTTTAAATCTTACAGTCTATGAATTACCAGGTAGACCACAGCTTATAGGTAGTTAGAGCTAGTCCTTGACTTACAACCATTCATTTAGCAAATGTCCAAAGTCACAATGGCCTGGAAAAAGTGATTTATGATCAGTCCTCGTACTTACAACCATTGCAGCGTTCCCCCATGATCATGTAATCAAACTTCAGAAGCTTGTGCAAGTAGCATATATTTATTTATTTATTCATTCTATTTATTTGCTGCTCATCTTGCTGCAAGGCAACTCTGGACAGCTTACAACAATAAAAGCAACAGAGGTAATCTTCAACTAACAAGAGTTCACCTAGGGACAATTTGAAGCTACAACAGCACAGAAAAAAAAGGGATTTATTATCACGGTTCACACTTAATGGCCATCGTGGCAAGACAAGTCATAAAATGGGGCAAAGGTTTCTTGTCTGTTAGCAACAGAAATTTTCGAAGACTACTTGTATATTATTTTAGCTTTTGTTGTGTGCCACTAGAGTCCCTTGATTGTGAGATGGGTGGCTGTAGAAATAGGATGAACCAATAAAAACAAAATAAATACACCTATCAAATCCAGTGAGGACCATATTCGCCCCCCCCCCCATCTCAAATTTTCAGAGCAATTACCTGACCCTGATGAGACCTGAGCGAGGAGAGATTTCATTCCGGAAAGAATTGCCAATCTGAGCAGCAGCAAAAGGCAGTTTGCCTTGGTTGAATTCCAAAAGACGTTTGAAGTTCAGAAAGATTCCCTGGGCGGTTTCTGGCCTCAAATATCCAGCCATGTTTCCTCCTGGGCCAATAGAGGTCTTGAACATGAGATTGAAAGACACCGGAGCAGTGAGGTCATTTCCTGTTAGGGGGGACTTCACATTGTAATTGACAAACAGATCCGCAAGCTGTTCCTGATTGTAGTTGTCCAGCTAGCAGGAAAGAAAAGACCGTCTTATTTACCCAGGAACATACAATCCAGCCTAATAATGGTAGTCCTTGATTTAGAACAGTTCATTTAGTGACCATTTAAAGTTACAATGGGACTGAAAAAAGTGTCTTAGGACCAATTTTCCCCATGTATGTCTGATGTAGAATCCCCATGGTCATGTGATCGAAATTCAGGCTCTCTTTGGCAAACTTCCAGTGGGCAAAGTCAATGGGGATTCAGATTAAGCCGGATTCGTTTAACAACCATGTGACTAAATTAACAACTGCAGTGATTCACTTAACAACAGTGGCAAAAAAGGTAGTAGGAATGGGAGAAAACTCACTTAAGAACTGTCTCGCTCAGCAAGAAATTTGGGGTTCAATTGCAATCATAAGTCAAGGACTACTTATGCTATTTATCCTTGTTCTCCTTTTTGGAAATCTATCTGTGCACCCCCCCCCCCACTTGGAAAGCAAGGGCCACTGAGGGCTTATTTAACTGACAGAAAAACCACAATACACAGGTGTTTTATAAAAGCCCTTTCGCAACAAAAAAATGTATGACCAGAAGCAGCTCCTGGGCTGCTTCAAAATATATGCTGTGCAGAGAGTCTCAGAGGTCACAATTTCTGGGCTACGAGGGAGCCATTTCTGCTTGCTGACTGACCTGCGTGATCACGCTCTCCATTTCCATCTTTTTCTCCGCGGCGCCCTTCTTGTCTGACATCATCTTCTGTAAATGGGCTGCAAAAAGAGAGAAGGAAATAAGTCTCCATAAGTAATTTTTCCCCCCCTTTTAGTTAATCAATCAGAAGAGAGCTGGAAGGGGCCTTGGAGGTCTTCTAGTCCAGCCCCCTGCTCAAGCGGCAGACCCTAGACCATGTGAATCAATCAATCAATTAATCAATCAGAAGAGAGCCAGAAGGGGACTCTGGAAGTCTTCTAGTCCAATCCCCTGCTCCAGCAGGAGAACACGTACAATTTAAGATAACTGGCTCTCTAGTTTTTTTTTAAAAAAATCTCCACAACTTCTGAAGATAAGATGTTCCACTGGTTAATTCTTCTCACTATTAGAAATTTTTCCTTAGTTCCAGATTGCTTCTCCCCTTGATTAATTTCCATCCATTCCTTCTTGTCCTGCCTTCAAGTGCTTTGGGGAAGAAACAACAAATGGAAACTAATCAAGGAGAGAAGCAACCTGGAATTAAGGAGAAACTTCCTGACAGTAAGAACAATTAACCAGTAGAACGACACTGCAACAGGATAGTTAGAACTCGAGCATTTACTAGCCGGATGCCACCTATGCAGAGTTCCCAGCAGAGATTACTCATTGCAGCCAGTGAGAGAACTATCTGAAGCCAGCTAGGATCAAACTCACAGCCTCCTGATTGCAAGGCAAAAGCTCCACCTCTAAGCCACCATGATGCTCCCATAGGTAATCATGGAGCCTGCACAAATACTGAGAAGTGATATGCTTCTTAGACAAGTTTCTTAGATAAGAAATATCAGAGATGTTTTCTTCACAGGCCATTCTTCAACATACAGGTAGTCCTTGACTTACGACTAGAACTGAGCTCAAAATTCCCATTGCCAAGCAAGGCAGTAGTAAATTGGGGACTATGTGCTATCTTTTATCCCAAAGGTGCTTTTTTTCCCCCCAAAAGGCAACTGGATTGTTTTTTCCCCCTGAGGAAGAAGAAATTTTGCTTCTCATCCAGGAAGCTTCATCGGTTCTGGCAGGATAGTGAAGCTTATGGATGGATTAGTTCTGACTGGACTGGGGGATGGGGATCGCATTTCTTTGCAGTCCTCTGGTCGTTAGTACTCTCCTCGAGAGCTCTTGAGGCCACTTGGGGCTTTATCTGTGCCCTCAGAATCACTTGAATCAGGATGCAACTAGAATTTTCTTAGGACTGCTGAAAGGGCTGCATTGTAAAGAGGAGACAGGTGGGGTTGTATCCCTCCTCCTGCTAACATAAATGGCTTCTTTCAAACCAGCAGTATTTTCTGTCCAGAATGTGGACTTTTTTGTCTTCGAAAGTATTCTTCCTCAAGGGGAAAAAAGCAAAGTCCCGTTTCCTCTTGAAAAAGCACCTTTGGAATGGTGATCTGGATGACTGAGACTCTCCAGACATTTTGCTGTCTTTTCATTCTTATCTGTAAGGTACCAACAGTTGCTGTGGAATGGAGTGGATGTTAGGACAAGAAGAAGACACAGACAGATCCTAAACATCAATGTAAGCTGGTCTTAGGATGGAATTAGACAGAGACAATGAAATAACACAAAGCATACCCTTCAGGAGGTGATCAGCTCGGAAGCATTCTCCACTTTTTACATCTTTCACCATGAAGTCTGCAAATTTGTCCACATGTCCAGACGTCCTGTGAGGAAAAATACCAATATTATCCAAAATAGAGTGAACACTAGTAACTTAAGACATTCATTCCCATGGCTTGTAGTCAAAATTCAGTCCCTTGGCAATCGGCATGTATTTATGATGGCTGCACTATCTTAGGGTCACATGACTTGTTTTCAAAAACACCAGCCCTAGGGCTTCTGGTTAGCAAAGTCAATGGGAGGAAGCTAGATTCACTTAACAACTGTATGATTCACTTAATAATTGCAGTGGTTTTAAGAAGAGACAGGACAGCCACTTGTCTGAAATGGTATAGGGTCTCCTGCTTGAGCAGTGGGTTGGACTAGAAGATCTCCAAGGTCCCTTCCAGCTCTGTTATTCTGATTCGCTTAGCAATTGTGGCAAAAAATGGTTGAAAAAGTGCCATGACTCATTTAACAACAGTCTTGCTTAGCAATAGAAATTCTGCTCCAACTGTGGTCGTTAAGTTGAGGACCACCTGAATTAAACTGTTTAACCAGGAATTACTGATATTTCCTTGTACTTTAATAGCTACCTTGTTTCCCCAAAAATACCTGAAACTAAGGGCTTGTCACATTTATCACATGGGCAAAAATATAAGCCCAACCCCGAAAATAAGCCCCCTGGACAACCCCTCCTCCGGCCAGGCAGAGCACCGCTCACCGACCTAGAGGTATCCCGAAGGTGCCAAGCCGCTGGAGCTGGGGGGGGGGGGGAGAAAGGCGCTCATGTTGCTTGCCGCCTTCGGGATACCGCTAGGTTGGGGAGTGGCGTTCTGCCTGGCCAGAGGGGGGGAGTTGCCAAGAGGTTGCTCCCTTGTGAGCGGGCTCCCAATGAGCCAGGCACAGCCTCAGGGGCGAAGCAGCCATGAAGTGACCAAACCCCCTCTCCAGCCGGGCAGAGCGCCATTCACTGACCTAGGGGATATCCCTAAGGCGGCAAGCCACATGGCGCTCTGCCCGCCCCCCAGTTCCCATGGCTTGGCACATTAGGAATACCCCCTAGGTCAGTGCCTGGAGCTCTGCCCAGCTGGAGAGGGGGGTTGCACGAGCGCCTGTTCCGCCCTCAGCAAGCATGCCTCCCAGCCTCACTATGCTCTGGCCCAGTTCTTCCTGCAGGGCCAGGGTGCCGCCGTCGCCGTGCTCCGAGCATAACTTCTTCTCCGGCTTCCAAACTCCAAAACTCAGCTGCCGAGTCTTCCAGCAGTGACCACTCTAGGGGTGTGCTCTATGATTGTGGGCTGGCTGCTGAAAGACTCTCTGTCTGGCAGCCGGCCCACAACTATAGAGCGCACTCCTAGAGCGGCTGCTGCTTGAAGACTCGGTAGCCGAATTTTGGAGTTTGAAGCCAGAGAAGTTATGCTCGGAGCACGGCGACGGCGGCACCCTGGCCCTGCAGGAAGAACTGG